CTCTGATTTAAAAAAAAAAGATTAAGTCATAAGACTTTTTAAAGTAGATACCTGAAATAAATTGGTATATTAATACCCTTTGGCAAATTTAATAGTGAGAGCCTAAATGTGTTAACATCTTGCCTTTTCTTCTTTTTAAGTAACTATACTCAAAATACAAAGATTATTAGTACTTCGATAGAGAATATTTTTTCTCTAATAGGTTAACCTAACATGAGGCACAAGCAAACACTGATTTGCATTTTGGAAAATAAATTTCCTGTAAACAAGTTCTGTAGCCTGCTAAGTCTTTTAAAGGAGTACTTCCTGAAAGAGTAAGACTAGTAATAAGCAGGTTAGTTTTAAATGAATAACCATTTTATTCCTTGGGGTTTTTGATAAATCCCATGTCTTCTAAAAATGTGAACAGAACACTTCGATGGGTTTTGTGGCACAGAGAAAAGGCCTGCGCCTTGTGCTCATTTGCTCGATAAAGAGCCCTGTCTGTGGGCCGTCATCACCGCCCTTAGCTTAGCGATAGTTAATGGAAGAATGAGAAAGCAGTCCAAGAATCCAAGGGAGAGAGGAAGGGAGCTTCAGCCAGGGTGGTGGTAAAGCGAAAAGCAGTCATCTATTAAACTATCCTACAAGACAGTGCTGCTTATGCTGGTCCACTGTCTTTATGTACGTGCTGAGCAACAGACCGCTTTTAGAACTTATTAACAGGAAAGGACACATTTCCCCTGAAGAGTGAGTGTGCTTTCAGATGAGAATTATGTAATATGATATTCCTCTTTTTGCCTTGGCTGCTAAGAAACTCAGTTATAAATCTTACGTTTAAAAAGTACAGAAAGTACATATTATGACAGCAACTAATATTTATTATTTACATGGCAGGGCGAGGGGTGTGTGTTAAGCTCTTTATATGTAATGTCTCACCGACGTGCTAAAATAGAATGCATCCACTCATTCTATTGTACCGAACGCCTGCCATGTGACAGGCAGCATCCTAGGTGCTTGGGGTGCCTCAGGGATCAAAACAAATCATAGTTCCTGCCTCTGAAGAACTTCTATTCTGGTGGCGGCAGGGAGAGAAAATAAACCACGTAAATAAGTAAACTACACTGCATGTTGGATGGACATAAGTGCTGTGAATAAAAATAAAGCAGGAAGGAGGGAAGAGGTGAGGGGGGAGGGTCAGTTTTAAATAGCATGGTCGCTGTAAGGCCTTCCCGCAAAGGTGACAATTGGGAGCCAGCCATGCAGATAATGCCCAGTAAAAAGGCCCTGCGGTGGAACGTTCCAGTGTTCCTGTTCTTTTAAAGGGACTGCAAGGCCAGAGCAGCTGCAGCAGTGTAAGAGGGGAAACATCACGAGATGAAGTCAGAGAAGCAAGGGGAGGAGTGACAGCTCTTAGGGGCCACAGGGACAGCACTGGCTTCTACTCGGACAGAGGGTAGTCCCTGGAGGGATTTGAGCAGATGATTCTCTGGCTGCGCTGGGAAGACTGAGGATGGAGAGGGGAGTGAGGTCTCAGGCCAGATCAGCGCTAATGCAATAATACAGGTGGGATATGGCAGCTTCCACCAGAAGAACAGTGGAAGAAGTAGTGAAAAGGGGTCAGATTCTGTCCGTATTTTGGAGGTAAGAGTGACAGAATTTGCTGTGGGGTTGTGAGAAATAAGATCCAAAGATGACTCTGAGGCTTTAGATCTGCATAGCAAGAAGGATGGCGCCGCTTTTAACTCACAGAAGACTCCGGGAGCAGCAGGTTTTGGGGGGTTTAGTTTTGCACAAGTTATGCTTTGAATGCCAAGATGAGATATCACAGGCAGCTGGACGTGAAGTGCAAGGCTCCAAGGAGAAACGCTGTCAGCTTACAGAAGGTATGTAAAGCCATGACACTAACTGTGGTCCCTGAAGGAGGGGCTGGAGTTGGAGGAGACGGCCAAGGCCAGAGCCCTGCGGCCCTCCACCATGAAGAAGTTATCAGATTGGAGACTCAGCAAAGGAAACAGAAGCAGCAGCCAGCAAGGCAGGAGCAGGTGGTCCTAGAAGCGTGTGAGCTGGGACCTGCTGAGGTCTCCTCGTCAATACAGCAGAAGCAGAGCCTCTGCTGGGCTTTGCTGTTGTTTACTCCTAGCTGCTTCCAATCTTTCCTAGAAATAGGTGAATATACACTAAAAATGACCTCGAGTAAGTCATTTAACCTCTAACTTGCATTTCCTCATCTATAAAAGAGGGGTACTATCACACCTGAGTGCTAAATGTCATAGGGCTGTGAAAAATCAATGAAATAATACTACATAAAAATACAGTTGTGCACTGCATGATGATGTTTTGGTCAATGATGGACCACATATATGAGGGCGGTCCCTTAAGATTGGTAACATAGAGCCTAGGTCTGTAGTGAGCTATACCACTTAGGTTTGTGTAGGCACACTCTATGATGTTCACACAACAAACTGCCTAACGACACATTTCTCAGAACGTACCCCGTCGTTATGCGATGCATGACTGTAGTCACTTTTTAACTTGAAAGCTATTAGATATCAGCTGAGAATCTTAAAAACATGTATATACAAAGCCAAGGAAATAAAGCTTAATGAAATAGCTCTTGGGTGAAAAATGCCACCTTACAAATACTTTTCTTAACAAAATATCATTATAAAAAATTTTTCTTAATAATTCCATTATATTTTGATGTGAACACAGAATAAATGGTTTTAGAAAGTATTCATGCATAAGTGATGTCTCATTATTGTGTAGCTGTGGCTGCATTACCCAGTGACTGCTGGGGTGCACAGTGGAAATGAGTTGTCTTCTGTGTAGTGTGGTATGGGTGTTGTTCCTGTATTTTAAAAGACGGAGAGGCTTTTTTCCCCTTTGATTTATGTTTTAATAAACAATTGTCCCATTTGGAGGGGAAATATAGAGAAAGATGTACTGGAGATACAGAGACACTGGAGATGTAGAAAATGCATTCTAAACAACTTGAACTACAGAAACATTCCCATTTACCTTATTTTCCTTACAGGCTTGGCCCTGTTGACACCCACAACTTCTGGGTAACAGTTTCCCAGTTACAGTAAATATAAATCCACTAGTCATGAATTATGAGGCAAGCAGGTCACAGGAAGTTCATTTTGGATGTTAGTAAAGTCAGCAAATTACCTGTCTGTTTCATTACATCCAAAGTACTTTATGCTCCTCAGAAGAAAGGTGTCGTCTGAGATATTGCAGCTGCCTAAACGTATAAAAAGGCAAACCAGGCTGGGGGCGTTTTCACAGCCATGTCTTATTGAGGTTGTGGGCCCGTCTCTCTCCTTACTGAGCTCAGAGTGTGCCTCCCCTCTCTGTGTTTCTTTCTCTCCTGGGCCCATCCCTAACCTCGTACTCTCTGTTGTCTTCACTCTCTTTCTCAGTGTTTAGTTTACAAAGCAGATTCTCCTGGAGTCCCGGGTACCAGCCTCCTCTTTCTCTAGCCGGGCTTCTGACTCTCTCACCTGGGACCTTGCCCTTGCAGCTGGTCTTCTGTCCAGTTTTGCTCAATATGCTCAGATGCACCTCATACACAGGTTTGGTATGGATGCCTGGGTGACTTCATAAGTAGGCTTTCCAAACAAAAGTACCTAAAAATAAATTAAGTGCTTTCCAATTCATTCTACCTCATCTAAAATGTGACTGAACTCTGTTCACTGTGCCAAGAGTAGTGGTTATTAAGATAGAGCATTTCCATTTTATTGTATCTTTTTCTAAGGTTTCCCAACTAAACATCCATGCTGACAAATAGCAATGTCTTTCTTCAACACACCCTTTCCCAATGATAAGTTTCAGAGATCTGAATATCAAGTGTAGTTAAATTCAACTATAATTTATTGAACATCTCTTTTAAAGCACAAGGCCCCAAGCTAAAATGCAGACATTGTCAAGTACTCTTCTGAATTCCTGATTTTGCCTTAAGCATAGAGACTGATAAGCCAAATTTAACTTATGAATATTTAACTACTTGGTAAGCAATGAGACTTTCTTTTTCTTCTTCTTCTTCTCCCCAAAGCTCCCCAGTACATAGCTGTATATTTTACTTGTGAGTGTCTCTGGTTGTGGCACGTGGGACACCACCTTAGCATGGCCTGATGAGTGGTGCCATGTCCGTGCCCAGGATCCGAACCGGCGACACCCTGGGCTGCTAAAGCAGGGCGTGTGAACTTAACTGCTTGGTCACGGGGCCAGCCCCAGCAATGAGACATTTTTAATGCAGTAAAAACAATAAATTAGGCAGGTCGCCTAGGTATGAAACAAAAATTTTAAAAAACATTTTACTAAATACATATTGCAACTTTTCTACAAATGTAAAAGTATTTCCAAATAAAAAGTAAAAAATTAAAACATTTTGTTTTCGTATTACTTCCTCTTAGAATATTCACAACTCTTCTCTTGTCCAATTTTTAATTTCATTCTACCACCCCAAATCTTCTTGCTAGTCCTCAAAGATTTTGGGCAAAAGCAACACCTTGATGCAACAATTTAAACATGGATTTTTTTTTTTTAAGATTTTATTTTTCCTTTTTCTTCCTAAAGCCCCCTGGTACATAGTTGTACATTTTTAGTTGTGGTCCTTCTAGTTGTGGCATGTGTGATGCTGCCTCAGCATGGCCTGATGAGCAGTACCATGTCCGCACCCAGGATTCAAACCGGTGAAACCTTGGGCCGCTGAAGCAGAGCACGAGAACTTAACCACTCGGCCACGGGGCCGGCCCCTAAACATGGATTTCTGGTTTGCTTTTGGTTTGCTTTGGTTACTTTGTCCCTGGATGGTGACCACATGTGCACTGGGAGCCCTGCTGCCAAGGGAGCAAGGTCAGGGTTCAAAGGTACTAGTACAGAAACCTCATTCATAAGTTTGGACAAAGACTGTAAAAACAGAACACCCATCTGATGGGCCTGATAAACATTCTGTATTGACACGGGGGGCCAGGGGTGTGCTGGTGGCCCAAGCCCAGAGTGAGGACTGAACTTACTTCAGAACCTGTAAAAGTCCAGGTGTCACTGACGTTGGTCTCACCATTCCAGCTCCACTAATGGTCCCCAGATGAACCTGAGGATAATAGACGGTCCGAAGAGCTAGTCTCGAAGACTGCAATCTCGTCTTAATGACTTCTAGTGGACAAGTGAAAATAGCACCAACTGTGCCCCCACACCTGTGAGGAAGAAATCACAACACGATCAGAAAAGCTATAACATTCTCTATACAAATGAAATTCGAAACTTAACTTTTCTCTATTAAAAAAAAAAGCACCTATGTTCATTTCATAATTAGAACATACTGGAAGGTAAAAAAAAAAAAAAAAGTAGTTGAAATCCCAGCAGCTATAGAGATAACCACTGTTAAACGTTAGTACATCCTTTGGGGCTTTTACTACTGGCTTTTTAATCCCACTTTCCCCCCCACCCCGGACTTATCTAGATATTGTGAATGTCTTTCCATGTCACTATACACACTTACATCATGACTTTTAATGGTTGCATACTATTCCTCTGTATCGATGTATAAGATTTTAACCCATTTCCTACTGTTAGATATTTGTTATTTCTAATTTCACTACCATGCTGCAAAGAATATTTTAGAAAATTCACCTTTTCAGAGTCAAACAGAATCGTTATTTGGGTAACGCTACAATGTTTTTTGAAAATCAATGCAACACAGACTTGTATAAAAATCTTATTAATTTGGATTCCATTGAAAATTAAACTAAAGCTTACTTTTAAGGACAAAGTCCTTGTGTTTCCCTCAGTCAGAACTAATCAATTCACCCTCCATGTTTTCATTGGTCACACTGTTTCCCTGGGTCAGGGTTCCCCTAACTACCCTTTATGATTTGTTTATATCAAAATATTACCTGAACTAAAAATTTAAGTATTTTTCTTTGAGACAATTCATTTATTTTAAAACACCTACTTTTATCCTTTTTTAAACAATAACATCCATGAAATTGTGTATTTGACGGGCTAGTTATAATTACCAACGTTACGTACCATCTAAAGCCACCTCCACACCACCAGTGAGAGGTTCCACTCTTTGGAAAACATTCAAGATCAGGACCTGAGTCTTATTCATCTTTGTATCCCTGGCGTTGGGACTCACAAGGTCACAAACAATATTTGCTAAGCGAAGGAACTACTGAACTGAAATTTCAGGGGGAATGTCTCTTAAGGGATCTAAATGTTTGAAAATAGCACTTACTGTCTACCTTCTATCACAGGCTGACTCTCCCATGAGACCAGGAGCTCCCTGCAGGGAGGGGCTGCGTAGTCATATAGTGTTTTTTTTTTAATTGCAGTAATATTGGATTATAACATTACATAACTTTTAGGTGTACACTGCAATATATTTCAAATTCTGTGTAGATTACACCATGTTCAGCACCCAAAGACTAATTACAATCCATACCCATATATTCTTGCACTTAGAGTATGATACCTGGCACAAAACAGGTGGTTCAACAAAAATGATGCAGCAGCAGCATCTCTGTTTGAACAGTAACAAAGGGAAGGAAGGAGAGGCCCTGGCAAACAGAATATTTAAGCTAGCTTCCCTGCTCCATAAGGTGCAGGTGCTGGAAATCTGGAAGCAAACGAACCCAGCACCTAACCCGACCCTGAGGTAAGGAATGAAGTAGAACCTCCAGGCAGTATTTTAAAATCAGGAGCCCGCAGTTCCACAGAGCAGGTAACATTCTGACAACTAAGAGCTAGAAGCTGCTGATTTAAATAATAGCTCCACTGCCACTGATCATTTTTTGATCAAGCATGCAATCCTCTAAGAAGCCTATGAGGTAGGAACGATTTAGCCTCAATTTACCACGAGGAATCTGAATGTCAGAAAATAACATCTACAGATGGGGGCGGATGGAGAAGAGAAGGGAGGAGAGGAAAAGAGACATTTATGACTATTTAGGTAAATCTGCTTTAAAATCATGATGATAATATCCCCTGAGTTGAGCTATTTATCTACTAATTTATTACTACTAATTTACTACTATTTATCTAGTATTTTCTGGACGGTGGGCCAAAGCCCACCAACCACTAAAGCAATGCAGGGCGTCACAATCAGAATGGAAGGAGGACGGCAGGAAGGACTCGCCATATGAACCAGCTGTCACTTAACCCTCAAGGATTTTGCTGAGTGGTATCACCCTCACTTCACAGACGGGGAACCTAGGTCTCAGTGAGGCGATACACTTTCTCAAAGTCACAAAGCAGTTACGTGTCTAAATGGAAACCCAAAGCCAGACCCTGCATCTCTAAAGCCCGTTCTCCCCACTGTACTCAGGTGTCCCCTTCGGGAGTATTATGGAAAGACAGGTATTATGTATAGTCCTGTTAGCTCCTTTAGACTATTTACATTCACACTCAAAATGGAAAATTGTTGATTAGACAACTAGGACTTTAAAACTCCAGGGGATCGGCCCCGTGGCCAAGTGGTTAAGTTTGCACGCTCTGCTTCGGCGGCCCAGGGTTTTGCTGGTTTGGATCCTGGACGCGGACATGGCACTGCTCGTCAGGTCATGCTGAGGTGGCGTCCCATGTGCCACAACTAGAAGGACCCACAACTAAAATCTACAACTATGTACTGGGGGGCTTTGGGGAGAAAAAAGCAGGGGAAAAAAAAAAAGATTGGCAACAGTTGTTAGCTCAGGTGCCAATCTTTAAATAAATACAATAAAACTCCAATGTGTCCTTTTGTATCAAGAAAAAATTGTGAGCCTAAATGAATGCTTGTTTGTATAATTTGCTCTCAGCACTAGAATATATCTAAGGAAAATGGGATATGATGGGGAGTGTTTATAGAAAGACAGGAAAAGTAACTTCCAACCCGTGTCTAGTCACATCAATTCCTCTTATCTATTACATAACCATGCACTTAAAAAGTGTTTAACACTTAAAAACACTGGAAAACTTACACGCTACAGAGTAAGATAAAGAAATATCTGAAATCTATTTATGTTCAATAACATGACTATGTCACTGAAAAAACAGAGCTTCTGGGTAAATTCTTTCATCAGAAAGTCAACATGTTCAAATATGACACAGGTCAACCACTTTTGCTTTGACCCCAAGTCAGATGCACTCCTACTTTGGCCAACTGTCCTCCAAATCTATGCCACTGATCCGATGATCCGAAAGGTGGTGTGCCAGCCTAACAAAGCACGTGTCCTACTGACAGCAAGGCGGTGACCTCTTCGAGGGTGGCAAGCCACACCCACTACCACAGGCACTTTTCTATATGTTGTACACTGTGCCCATGGCAGGAGTGGGCGGTGGTGGTGAAAAGGCCCTGACCTTTGGGACCACTTACAGGGCACCAACCAAGGCCCTCTAAGGCTCAGGTGCCCCTCCTACAAGACTGGGATGATGCTGTCTCACGGTGTCACAGGAAACAACTGAAAAATAGGACAACACTGCAAACAATGGTAGGAAGTTACTGCTCAGTAGGTAAGCCCCTCCTTACCTACTAGGAAAAAAAATCTTAGATGAAAAATGGCCAAAGGACATTTTAAATCATTACCTGTACTGGATATTACAGAAGGAAATAAAATTTCATTTTATCTTTATAATCTTCACCATTTAATTTCTATTTTGTGTACATGCTTTATAACATGTATAAAATTAATAGGGTAATAAACAGACATGTAGATATGCACAAACATTTTATTTAATTTAATTAATTTTATTTATTTATTTATTTTTTTGAGGAAGATTAGCCCTGAGCTAACATCTGCCACCAATCCTCCACTTTTTGCTGAGGAATACTGGCCCTGAGCTAACATCCATGCCCATCTTCCTCTACTTCATATGTGGGACGCCTGCCACAGCATGGTATGACAAGCAGTGCCATGTCTGCACCAGGGATTCGAACCGGCGAACCTGGGGCCGCCAAAGCAGAACACGTGAACTTAACCGCTGCACCACCAGGATAGCCCCAAGCACAAACATTTTAATCATAGGGCTGTGTGATCAAAGTTTGAAGACCACTATTCTAGAACAATGGTTCTCAACCAAGGCAATGTCCTCCCCACCACCC